ACACTAAAATTCAGGCAGGGAAAGGACAGGGACCAGGGCAAGAAAGGCTTTTCAGCCATGACACAAGTTTATATGTCATTTCAAATGAAATGGGAAACAGATTTTCAACAGGAAGAAGCCTCCTAAATTTCAGTTTTTAGAAGCTCACTTAGGCTTGTGTGTCATAAAAGAGGCAGGACARGAAGCAGGCAGCTGTTCCAAGGCAAAGGCAGCAGTTTAGGTATAATATGGTCCTCAGAGTTGGGTGAGGACAGATTTCACAGGATGCTTCCGGCAGTGGAGATTACAGGGTTTGGGACTTAATTGTCAAGGGTTTAGAAAAATTCAACAGCAAGACAGATTCTCTATTTGGAAAGTCTGCTAGGCCAGTGCTTCAGTGAGCACATGGACTCTCTGGGGAGCTTGTTAGATTGTAGATTGATTCAGTCTGTCTGGGCTAGGGTCTGAGAGTCTGCAGTTCTAACAAGTTTCCAGGTAATGCCAAAGCTTCTGGTCTGGCCACCACACTTGGAATAACAGGATGCTAGCAAAATATGACCTCAATTTGCATTTTCAGTTGTATTTTTTACTGTCTGTACATAACACACGCTCCAGACTGGTGTTCCAGTATGGCAATCTTGTGGTACTACTTGAATTGAACTAAAATGAGATAGTCAACTCCTCATTTGCACTAACTATGTTTCATGTTCAAGAGCCACTTGTACCTAGTAGCTAAAACACCAGACAGYGCATATATAGAGAACTTTTTATCAAATAAGTTTTATTGTTCAGTGCTGCTTCAGARGAAACTATTTCTAGTTTCCTAGGTTGTGCTAGACATGTTACCATGTTTTCCTCATCCTCATCTTTAATGGGGAACATTCCACTATCTTTCCTGAAACTCAAATGAGGTGTGTCCTCTACTTCCTTTAAATCTGCCAGCCACATTTGGTTTCCTTCTGTGATGTATATCAACTGCACTATCTTATCATCCACAGAATATTGGTACCTAAATCCCATTTCTCTAGCTGTAGAACATCGTTTTACTTGGATTGGGGGTAGGGCATTACTTCTCACCCATTTGTCCATGTGATTCAGTTCAACCTAACTCTACAGGTTAGCATAATCATGAGCACATGAGCCAGCTGAGCGCCCAGGTCACAGAACATTAGATTAAATTATTAAATGCTTTCCGCACTAGGATCTCTAAGATGGCTGGATGTAAGTCTGGATCTTCTGGTAGCCATCCTGTCATCAAATGGACAGACCTCGCCAGAGGATGAGCACAACTTGGGAAAGCAAAACCAAGAAATAAAGACAGATCCTGGATAACATCACACACTTGGCTAGATAGCTGAATTTTGGGAACACTAGTTACTAGATACTGGGGACAAGTTCCTTTTCTTTTTTGGTATCAGGGATTGCTTAGGGGTGCTAAGCCACTGAGCCACATTCGCAGCTTCCCAGGCTTTTTATTTTAAAACAGAGTCTCACTGAGTTACTTAGGGCCTTGCTAAGTTGCTGAGGCTGGCCTTCAACTTGTGATCCTCCTGCCTCAGCCTCTGCAGTTGCTGGGATTACAGGCATGCAACAAATTCCTGTTTTTTCTTTAGTTGTACCAATGAACTCTTGTCCACTACAATGTCTTTAAGACATCTGCATTCTACTTTGACATATAGTACTACCAACATGATACTTGGTAACATACTCCCCTTTGATCCAACCATTTACAATCACAATTGCCCTTGGTTGCTTTCATATCACAGGTCTGTATGATGCATTGTGAATGAACATAAGCCCATCTAAACTAAAACAATGTTCACCGATTTTAATATTATAATTATATTGATACTGAAATTTTTGGAGCTAAACTTAGTTTTCATTGTTTCCCAATAAAATCTAGTTTTATTAATTTCTCTAGATTTCCTGTATATGCATATTTAAATTGATTAATCTCTACTGCCCAAGTCACCCAAGATAAGTCCAAACTTCCTAGGTAGCATGTATCATTTACCTGGTTAATCCACAGGATTATTTGCTATTTACCCTCGCCTACCTCCTAGCTTTGAAGGAACCCCCTTATATAGCTGTGCTCTAGCCTGGGCCAGTGGGCTGGGGCTGGGGCTGGGGGTGCCTCYCAGATCTCACTCCTCCTGCCTGCTCTACACTCTGAATCAACCCACATGGACCATTTTAGCTTTATCTTTGGCTCACAGACTCATCATCTTTGTCTTGCTCACACTGCATGTAGAATCTGACAACAATCTCTCCACCTCCTAAGTGGCTCAAGAGTGGTCTATGGGCATAGCCGCTGGGATAGTTCCTAGACTCCAACTCAAAGATGCCCCCAAACCTGACACAAAACTCATCACCACCCATCTGTTCTCTATAACTGCCTTTTCTAACCAGAACTGGGCTGATGAAGGGGTAATTATTTCACGAAAGAACAAAGAATGGGCTTTCACTACCTTATCCCCTAATCCTGTCACATTTTAACATTTGATGAAACATTTTAATATATCGGTTTACAAACTAGGATTAAGAACCACTCTAGAGGACCATGCACATGATAAGATTATCTTTTATTAGAGATCTTATATTACATATTCCCAAAAAGATATAAAATCTTTCAAGAGAAAATATCAAAACCTGTTGATTCCAAGGTGAACAAAATAATCAAAATGAAAGTAAACATTTTCTTCTGGACAGAGGAATGTGGAAACATATCAGCACAAGTACAACAAAGACATGGGAAGAGAATTATGATGTTTTACAGCATTTTGTTTTAATCAGTATTTGTAGAAAAGAAAGATGCTGAGTTCTCCATCAGTGCAGTTATAACCCCAAATTAAACTTTCAAAGAAAGGGGAGGGTGGGGAGAAAGCAGTGAATACTTGGTCAACTGAACAACTGTGATAATGAATGTTAAAAAACCCAATCAAGCAAATATTCCACCAAGAACACAACTGAAGGGTATGGTTTGAAGTGTGTGCTGGAGACACTAAAATTATTCAGTCAGTTCTTGACCACAACCCAAAGCAAAAACATCCTCTCATTTCCCTGATGATGTATTCTAAAAAGAACTTTAAAAAGCAGAAACTTGCTGGTTAGAGAGAATTTCTGCTTCACCTGTGAAGAGCTGGTGGCAACGCACACTGAATAAAACCCCGACTAACATGGGACAAATCCCTCTCAAACACCCAAAAGTGGCAATGCCACTGTTATTGCATCAGATTTTTTATTTCATCTGATCAGAAATTCCAGAGTGATAAAGCACACCCACTTAACCACAGAACACAGTGAACTCCCATAGGAAGATATACATTAAAGATGCAATAAAAATACTGATCTCTCCTGGGATGTGCTTCTGGCAATCCTGACGTCTGTAGATGTCCACAAAACGAAGTGGTTTTTGTTGTTGTTTTCCAGTTGTTTATTCCTCCCCCAAACTAGGAAGAAAACTTATAGTACATGTTTATTGCATGAAATTACCCTCTTGTAACATCTTAGTCAATATGGTATTGTAGGAGTTTATGAATGAACACAACAGGTATCTTAGAAGCTGCATCTTGAGTGAAAATCCAGAGAGTAATTTGTAAACTACATGGTGAAATAGAAATAGTTCTAATAAGATAAAGGTTTTTGGAATGACGAGAGGTAAATGGAAGTTTAAAGTCAGATAATACTAAGTTTATTACGTTAACACAAAGAGAGTTTTCAAAACTAYATATTCAAGAATCTTTTCTGTGCTGAAAATGAATATTTGAAATGTTGCTAATGTGCCAGTTTATTTTTACATTAAGGAAACAATGCTCCTCAATGAATTTTATTAAAAGTACTGTAATGGCACATGGGCTTAGAACTATACGCTGAGGTTAGCACACACAAGTTTGGAATTGGCTGAACAAACACAGTCTTTAGTAAGATTCATTATGATGAGCTACATATAAGTGGATTTCAAAACAGGGTCTATTTTAAAGCATTCTCTTTTTCAGTATGGTTAACTACTGTGAATGGAAACAGTATTTGGATTTTGCATGTTGCAAAACCCTTGCTTCAAGTTGCAGTTTCCTTGGCAGCAGCATATTTTAATTAACAATATTTTTCTTCCTTGTTTTGTTTTCTGACATCTCAGTACATTCAAATAGTCAAAATGTTTAGAGTAACACCACCACAAATTTAATGAAACAGATCAGAATGTGGCCAGCATTGTCAGGCAAAAATTACACAATTTATGTGTCATAGAAAGGCCCCCCTCCAGCCTCCCAATACCTCCCCCCTTTCCCAGACAGGAATATGGACACCAAAAAATTTAACAAGACTTATAAAAAAATAAGGCACATTTATTTTGATATGGTAATTTAAAAATAGAAAACCCCATTCTCAGAACACCTGTATTCAAATGAGCTGTGTAAAAAGACACCTTGTGGTACCTAAAATAGGTTCATGGTACCTATGGAATTGCTTTTTCTATTTTAGTGACAATGGAATAAATTGCACCTATCCCACATTGTCAAGTAATGAAAATATGCCTCTTTTTCTACTGTTGAATGATTCCAAATCAGGTATTTAGGGAAATACAAAGGGTAGGAAAGGAAGAAGAGATTCATTAGAAAAAGGTGTGACTATCAACTATGTTTATCATAAGGGTTGAGGGATTGCACTTTTCCACATATTTCAACACACAACATTTTTCTAGCTTGTATGAATGATTGCAACCATTTTGGCCTTTAGCTATTATCCACAAACTTTTTATTCCATTTTGGTAAAATGGGCATTTTTATAAAATTAATGAAGAATCAGCAATGCAAATACTTTGAAGAATCTCTTCACAACCCCCAACACAAACATAATTAGTCAGCATTTAACCTGAGATACAATCTGTTGAGAGGTTTTCTTTAAACATTTCTTCATTTGTTGCATCAATTCACACTGATAGTGGCAGCTCATGGGAGGAACAATTAAAAAAAAGAAAGAAAAAGAAAAACCTGGTTGACAGCATGGCTTTTTCCCCCCTTTGCAGATCTGATTTAAAAAAGAAAAAAAAAATCACAGAATTCATGTTCTCACAGTAGCCAGAAACTAAAATAATGTGCTTCCCTTATTGCACGTCAAACCAAAAAAGTTATAAAAGCCAATGCTTTCCACTCCAAATGTGAAAGTTGGATGTTCACCTCAACCGGATTCGGAATGTGCTGATTTCCATGGGACTCAAGTAGATCACACTTATATTTTGGGCAACTGGAGGTGTATGCATCAAGGATAATGATGAAGGAACGAAATCTTCAATAGTAAACATGTCAAAAAGTTTATATACTGATATCTAAAAAGTAGAGGGACAAAAAAATTAGCATATTTAGATCAACTCTTAAGATTAGTAGAATATCTATATATTCAAGTAAAAACAACCTATGGAAGGGAGTAAAACAGTATGTTGAAAAAAAAAAAAACAGAGGGAGGGATTAAGTATACGTATACATGTATAAACATGCTTAAACCTATAGACCATTCCTGGAGGGAAATAGGAAGCTGTTATAATAGTCAGGGGCAATCTGCTCTGCATTCCTTTCTGTAGTTCTTGACAATTTTATCCTGCACAGGAGTTACTTTTTCAATAAGAGAAAGGACACCTATGAACCAAGTTTTAAAAATCCTTAGACTCTTTCTGTAAATACTTACACTTTACAATGATGGTTCACAACCATTTTTTTCTGTTTCAACAGAACTGGAAAGGATGGAAAGGTCATTTGGAAAGTGCATTCTTCATACCTGCTAGGCTATTCTAACATCTCTCTGGATCATATAACCCCCTCAGGGACTCAATGTCTCAACGCTAGAATGCTTACAACCAAATATACTCAAGTTGATTGCAAATATAATGAAAAAAAAATGCCAATGCTTTTTGGCACCAATTCCATGGAAGGTTTGGTAAAAATAATATAAAAGTAAGTCTATCCAAGCAGATATAGGACTTCTACCAGATTTCCTATTCTTTTCAGATCTTACACATGTGCTAGTGTGTAGAGTTGGAAATGAGCTGCCTGGGTCTGGTCTGTGGTATATTTATGGGGTTTAGGAGGAAAGCTGGTCAGCTGAGTTGCCTCATGGGGCAGACCTGCCTACGTGCTGGAACCAGCTCCATTTGCCTTCTCTTAGTCACAGCTCAGAGACAGAGAGGCAGGAGACTGGAGGCTCATTTCCTTCCTGATGAAACTGCCAGCAAGATCAATGAATAGAAATAAAAAGTAGGTAGGTGCCCTTCAGTGCTCAGGCTGAAGATCTTTTGGCCTGCAGAGTGCTGACTCATATGCAAATCTGGATTAATCAGAAGACTTAGATGTACATTTACTTCCCAAAAGGAATCAACTGATTGGAAGACTGTACAGCTGCCACTGGGGTTGTGGTCAATTAATTCAATGTTCATGCTGATGCATCTTATTGCTATGCCGGTCAGCTTCAGTCATAAAACTTGCCTTGGCCTGTGTAGGACATGGGCTTAGCACAACTGAACTKGATGGTATGTGAGCATGTGCAGTCTAGGGGAGGAAATTAAAAGGGGGAGAAGATATTATGTCGTCATCTAGAAATGGAAGCCGGAAGAAATGACATGAGCCTAGCCTTCAAATGTGCACAGGTTCCAGTCATGTTTGACAAAAATCAAATACTTTTTTAAGCTTTAAGCTAACTTGCAGGCTGAGGAAAAGAAGTCAGTGGGGAGGCAATGAAAGATTATCTTATTGTCAGGGCTATTTTCAGAAAGTGAGGATTTTTGTCAAGGCAAATTAGCTAGACCAGCAAAAAAAAAAAAAAAAAAAAAGCCTTTCAACTTACCTTTCCCTGAGTCGTAGAACAAAGCAGCCCCATGCCACTGGTAGAGAACTGGCAACCAAAGCCTTTCCTGTGGAGGATTAAGGCTGCATCACTGGAATACCCCTTGCCTTCCTGCAAATGAGCACAACACCAACACACCACAGAAATATTAAAGCAAGTATTTACAGCACTGTACATCATTATATTGATGTCAGCAYCCTCAAACTACATTTAGAAACTTAATTAGACATATTCATTTCTTCTCAGGCTCCACAATGACTGGGCCCATCCATCTGCTACACTCACCCCCAAACTCACTGAGCCAGGTGACAATATGCTGTAAGGTTACTGGTTAAGTAACTTCATGCCTTAGTTCCCCCACAGTCCTTGAGGACTCAGGCTTCCTTTGTACACAAATTATGCACTGTTTTATCAACAATTCTTCAAGTAAGGCTTGCTTGCTTGCTTCCTTCCTTCCTTCCTTCCCTCCCTCCCTCCCTCCCTCTCTCTCTCTCTCTCTTTCTTTCTTTCTTTTTTTTTTTTTGTACCAGGGATTGAACCCAGGGGCACTTCACCCTGAGCCACATCCCCAGTCCTTTTTATTTTGAGACAGGGCCTTGCTAAATTGCTTAGATCCTCAGTATATTGCTGAAGCTGGCTTTGAACTTGTGATATTTCTGCCTCAGCCTCCTAAGTCACTGGCACTGAAGGTTGTGCTGTACCCAGCTTCTCTCTCTCTCTCTCTCTTTCTCTCTCTCTCTCTCTCTCTCTCTCTCACACACACACATTTTATATACAGTTCTGTTGAACAAAATGTACATGAATGTAGTCCTTATCTAGTCATTGAATGATTTATATCCATCTTAAAACTGAAACATGAATTTCCTTATGAAATACTAATTTTTGCTAATTGTATTAACATTCTTAATCTTTAATGTATTGGTTCATTATTTTTATACAAGAGACATTTAAATTGAATTAGTTATGCTTATTACTTGCAAGGACAGCCAACATTTATTAGCTTGATGTATTATTTAAATTCACATAACACAAACCATTCTTTCTGGGCAGACAAACAGAAAAATACTAAGGATAAACCAGTCAGTTACAGGTATAAGCTCAAACTTTCTTGCAGCCAAATTTCTTGAGTTCATTTAAATAATGATGTCATGAATGGTTCAGGTTCTTTAATATTTTAAATTACAATTATCTTAATAAATGTTATATTTTCCCAAGTGGCAAGATGTTTATAATAAACAAACTGAATGAAAAATTCATGGAAATTTTGAGAAATGTACACTTATTCAAAGTAGACTCATATGCTGCATGGCACTGACATAGTGAGGAAAATGATCTCTTTCTCTCTTCTCAGGCCATGGATGTGAACATGTCCAAGCTCTTGATCATCCTCTCTAGGGGACAAGAATAGTTAATGTGCTATAGAGACATCTTTTCTGAATAGCTGCCAGCATTTCCACCACAGACTTGATTTTAATGTGCCTGAACAGTTTAAAGCTGTCCTCACCTCAGATTCTTGGCTGGAATAACCTATGTTATGATGTTTCACACCATTATTTAAAGTGGTATTACTAAGATTTTCTTTGAAGCGCGAGAAAAGAGAGTCATTTAAGGAGTTGTGAGTCACCATAGAACCACATGATACACACAACAAGTTTAAATCATATGAAATTTCACCTCCCCATACATATCGAATAAAAATACTTCATTTATATACATAAGATTTCCAGAAGAATGACAAAGGGAACTSGATCATGTGCCAATGGTGTAGCTGGGAGTTTTTACAAGTATCAGTTTCTTTGTCTGTAAAATGGAGCTAAAGCTTGTCTCTTCAAGCTTGAGGGAACTGCTTGAATTAATCTAATGAAAATACTATGTGCAGTGGCCTCACAAAGCCTGGTAGGACAGAATGTGTGTGGAGAAGCTGTAGAGATGAGCAAGAGCCTGGGCTGGGAGTCAGAAACCTGCAATATGACTCCTGCTCTGCAATTTAGTAGCTGCTGAGTTTAGCAACACCAGGYTTTCCTTTTCTGTAATAGGGAGATGAAATAAAATAAAATAGCATAAAAAAGACTTGTTCCAGTGTCTGGCACATAGGACGTCCTTTGACTATTAGTATTTTTTATCAATGTAATCCATCAAATAAATATTGATGATAATTTTCTAAAACTTACAAATTAACCATACTCTCATTTAAACTCCCCCCTCCTTTTTTTGATATTGGGAATTGAACCCAGGGGCACTTTATCATTGAGCCACATCCCTAGCCATGCTTACTTTTTCTTTTGAGACAGGTTCTTACTTAGGGCCTTGCTGAATTGCTGAGACTGGCTTTAAACTTGTGATCCTCCTGCCTCAGCCTCCCAAACTGTTGGGATTACAGGCATGCACCCCTGCTCCTAGCTCATTTAAATTCTTATTCATGAATTTCCTTTATTGACATTATAACTCTATAGCTAGAAAAACAGAGAACCCTCAAATTATATGTCTACAGTTGTGTATCAAAATCATTACAAGTCCTTGTGTGGATTCACAGGTTAGATGGCCTTTTAATTAGACTCCTTTGGAAGCACTGTTAACCTAAAGCATTTGACCATTTTAACTCATTGCACCATCCTTAAAATCCACTTGATAGCAGAAATTGTTAAAATATCTGAAACACATTTGCTCTTAGAATGAAAAATTCCTAACTCTGTTACCAAAGGGGTCAAAAAAATGGAAAGGAAAATACAATATCTTTGAAATTCTATTTCTGAATTTCATAAGAGATTTAAAAAAACAATACAAAAGTAGAGATGAAGCCATAAAACTTACTTTTCATTGAGATAAAAAAGTTCTACTTTCTCTAAAAACTAAAATTAAATCATTTTGTAAGGACTAACTGAAATAGTAATCATCTTGTCCAAGTTTTTAAAAAATCAAATATTCATGAAAGTATCAGTTTTCAAGCAAAAAATACCTGAGGCAAACCAGAAGTTTTTCAGTTTCAAAGTCTGTCTAGACATTTTATTTCCAAGAAAACTGTTTTTCAAAGTAGTGAAACTGTGAATTTAACTTGAATATGGATGCAGGAAAACAGATATCCCCCAGCAATCACACTGTATGCTTTAGGAGAGTAAATAGATATCGAAAGAACTCTTCTTATATACACTAAAACACTGTAATATCTGGACCCCAGAAAAGAGGAAGGTGTAGGGAAGAAAATTTGTGATCTTTGAAAATGCACATAGTACAGTTGGGTACCTGTCTTTGTAAAACAGGTTAGGTCACAATTGAGACTGAATCACTGAAGGCAGGCTGTGGTGTTCAAAAATTACAGAGAAAATCCATCCCCAAACTCCTTTCTGGGGATCAAACCAACACCCAGCTCACAGGGCCTGCAAGGCTCTTCTTGTAATGTGGTAGAAGATAGCGGACAATGACTGGGTTTGTAGAATGAAGCCATCAGATAAAGCTGGGCTTAGAGAAAGTGGGATCAGAGCAAGATTTGGTTTTACCATGAACCAAGCCATGTGACTCTGGTTCATGGTGAAATGTCTCAACCCCCAAAAGTACTGGGCATGGAACCCAAGGCCTCCATGCCAAGCAGGTACTTTACCATTAGCTACATTCCCAGTTCTTTTTGATTTTTTTACTTTGAGGCAGGGTCTCACACTAAGTTGCTCAGACTGGCCTTGAACTTGCAATCTTCCTGCCTCAGCCTCCCAAGGAACTGAGATTATATGGTATACCTGGCTTGTTGCCATGCAAGAGGCAGCATAAGGCTATAAACAGGAACCTGGAGTCAGTTTTTTGAGGGTGCCTTGCCCTGCTGTGTGACCTGGAATGTTATTTGCCATCTCTGGGTCAGTTAGTTTGCTCTTCTATAAGATGGGATAAAAATATCACCTACCTTCTTTGTAGTATGGGAACTTTAAGGAAGGTTCATGTAAAGAACCTAGCATGATGCCTGGTATATAGATAATTTAAAAAAAACCTGAGGAATCATTAATTAAATATATCAGGAATAAGTTAAAGTGACGTCAAGATTTACTTTGGCAATAAATGTCAAGTTTCTCCATTTTTTTTTTAAAAGGTGCCAACATGTATTTTTTKGGGGGGCGGAGGGTTCAGGAGATTGAACTCAGGGACATTTGACCACTGAGCCACATCTACAGCCCTATTTTGTATTTTATTAGAGACAGGGTCTCACTGAGTTGCTTAGGGCCTCACTAAATTTCTGAGGCTGGCTTCCGCTTCCCAAGCCACTGGTATTAMTAGTGTGCGCCACTGCACCCAGCAAGCACCAACATTTTTACTTCATTGTTAATCATGACTGCTCATGCCCGAATGATCACAGCTGGAAACTTAAACTTGTCCAGCACTCACAGGGTTCACCATGCGTACACTTGTTCAAAACACCTCAGACATTTCCTTTAAGCCTGACAACATTTCTGAGCTGGGTACTATTATCATCCCTGAGCTACTAATAAGGAAACTGAACTCAGAGTTAAGTGACTTGCTCTAAGTCACAGGTTAGCAAGAAGATGAGTCATGTTCAAAATTCAGGTGGTCTGACACCAAAGTCTGTGCTTTAACAGCTTTCTTTTCCTGCTTTGCTCTAGTTCTGGATTGGTGCCCATAGCTACCTAGTCAGGAAGGGAAAGATAGGGATTCTGTTTGATGTAATGTTATAAAACACATAAACTAAAGGAGATAACCCTTCTAGTTTAAGACTGGAAAGAGGGAATATATTTGGTCAATGGTCCCAGTAGAGCTAAAAACATGACTTAGCAAAACATAAATCAATTAAGAAAGCAAGGTTTGGAAATTATAATTTCTTACATATCTGCCACCTACCCACCTATCCACTCAACTCATTTCAAACAGGATTAAAGGCCATTCTGAAAATTATAAATGCTCATGAAGTCTCTCCTAAGGAAGGAAAGATAAAAATGAATATTCCTCTACTGAAGCAGATAAGAACTTAAGATGTGAAAATTGTGCTATTTATCTTTCACTCCAAAAGAAACTTGATTTGCCTATCAATTACCCAATGGTCACAAATCAGTTAACTTTTGTAAACTGTAATAAACATTAGAAATAGTGTAAACCCACTGTTTTTTGGTGATGAGAATAGTCTTAACTCTGACCAGATATTCTAAGAGTAATGTGATCCATACCTTTTCACAAGATTTTCAAGGTGCACATAGATCAAGAAATAGCTAAACCCCAGGGGGAAATTTTCCCCAACACACTCAGATTCTTTGAAAATGCCTAACAACTCATCTGTAGTGCATTTTGGCAGCTAGACAGGTTAGAAAACTGCAAACTTTGTTGTAAATTCTGAGACAGGAAATAACCAGTAGAAATTCATTTTTCAGGGTACTCATTAAAATGTCTAATGATAGCTATTTTGTTTTGATCAACAAGATAAAATGACAGAAAGAAAAGGAAGGTGAGTGGTTGTTCTTAGATATGTACAACAAAGGAAAATTTCCCCCCACAATTTTCACCTTTCCAGAAGCTAGGGAGATCAATAGAGCACCAATCAATTCTTATAAAGAAACACAAAACAAAGTAAAAACCTTAAAATGCCTTTTATGAGAAAAGACAGGTGGTATAAACAAGTGTAAAGAGAAAATATTTGAAAAGCAATGGTGATGTTGAAATGACTGGTCCATGCCAACCATCAGTTAACTATAAATCAAAATCAATCTCAGAGAAAATAAAGAGTTAAAAGTATTATGTAGATATAAATTAAACAAAAACATCTGAACATAAAAGCAATCTGAAAAACCAACAACAAACAAAAACCTGAACTAAATTTCACTTTTGAAAACATCAAGGTAGAATGGCACCATGAAACCTAGCTGAATTCTTAATCAGGTTCCTCTCTGTCCTTCTGTTCCAGCCTGACCCTGCATGCAGTTCCATCCTTCAGAACCATGACTCATGTCTCTGTTCTCCCATGGGATTTTCCCAGCATCATCTCTGCCAGGTTTCCCTTTCTCCTCAAATAAACTGCCCTTTCCCGGTGACATGGCTTGCCTATTTAAGGTACTTGAGTGGTGCTCCTGTTCCCAGTTTTCAAACCTTCATAGAAGCTTCTTTGTAATATCTGAAGCTCTTGATAGTGGAGGGAAAGGAAGTGATCAAGAGAAGGATGACAAGCAGAAGGAGGAGGAGGCCAGCAGGGAAACTCCCAGACAGTGGCTGGAATGAACTAAGCCACCACAGCACACTGTGTGCGGGCAGAGCTTCAGAGAGGTCTCTTCCCTTTGTTCATCTGAGTAAAAAAATATCATAAATTTTCTAAAAATGGATATAAAGTACAAATCCCAAAGATACCTATATAAAAACAAATTCATCTACTAATATAGATAATTTTGCAACAACCAGACCTTTAGAAATAAATTTGATTTCTTCAACAAGTCACACATTGCCCTTTGAGACTACATACAGCACTCGAATTCAGAAGTCCTGCTGGATGATTTTACTTTAATAATTTAATCTCTAGCCCTTATTCCCCAATTTAGGAAATGAAGATAACTTAGCAATTTCTAGAATTTTTTTTAAAGGAGAGTTTTTTAAAAACTTACTAATTATTAGGCTAGCAATTTCTAGAATTTTTTTAAAGGAGAGATTTTTTTAAAACTTACTAATTATTAGGCTCTCTTCTTCAGACTACAGAATTAGGATCTCAGAGTTAGGATGTGAAAGGCTCCATTTAAAAAAATCTCCCTGGTGAGATGTGCACCTAGTGAGTCTGAGGCTGGTGCAGAACCACCTCAGTGGGTTATCGCACCTCCAGCCTGCACCCGACCTTTCTCGCTGTTCTTTAAACCATAAAACCTTTATCCCTGGGGAGGAGCAAGGAAGACCAAGTAAGGTTTAGACACTTTAGGTTTAGAACCTTCAGACAGTAGCCTGGGGATGGGCAATCGGTGTCCTGATTGAGCTGCTGATGGAGGTCAGGCAGGAAGAGACCTCCCACTGCTTGTATCATGCCAAGGCAGTCCCCAGACACACTGGTCACGAAAATGTTGCAGTGGTTAGAAGAAGACCAACATAGACATGGGCCAATGAGACCTCTGGTCTTGTTTGGAACCCAGTCTATGTCAAAATTACTTCAGGGGGAAGTAATCACCAAATGAATACCTAATATTATACCCTGAAAATTGCCAGCATATAAAAAACAGGAACACAATTTGGGTCTAGCATCTAGATCTATGATAGAGTCATTTTTGCCTTTCTTTTAGTATAATCACAGGATTACAGTGGATATCTTTTAAATAACAGCTTTCTTTAAACCAATACTCACAATAGCTTCATTCAATGATTATTTTTCTTTTATCAAAGGTTACAAGACAGAGAAACTCTTCAAAGCAGTGGTCCTGAATGGCCCAATGATCCTCTAGGATTACCAATGGGTTTTTAAGTAACTGTTTCAAATATGTGCTGAGTCAAAGGCTAATCTAGGAATTGGCACTGATCAATATGATAATATGCAACATCGCTGAATATTTAGTTCTGATTATGTGCCAGCATGGTAGTGATTGATGGGCATTGACATTTCAGTCTTTATTCTGCCTGGTGAAATCTGTTATTAAACTGCTCTCTGTTTGCTCTGCTAAAACCTCAATTTGCACCCAAATTGGCATATACTTGCATTCAACTTGGCTCTGAGAAGATAACAACATTTATTTACAGTGTTTGTTTTCAAAGGGCTCTTGCAGCATCATTTAACCTGTTTCTCACAATAGGCGTAACACAGACATTTCTGATATGGCCCTGTTTTATAAAGGTTAAGGTCAACAGCCACTCTTCGGTCCATGGATGGTTCACTTGTCCACCTGTGCAAAGATGAGAAGAGTAATGCGAAGCAAGGTGGCAGCAGTGTCTATAGAGGACAGGAATGCTCGAGGGTGTCAACCAATTTGGTAGGCAATGGGATTTTCAATCTGGAAGGTGATTAGACTATGAAGTTAGCCAATAGCAGGAAAAATGTAAACAAGTTACCATTAAAAAGAAATGACCAGGAAAACAAATGCTAGTTTGGATTACTGAGGGTAAAATAATACCCAACTTTCACTGATTCTAGTCAGCTCAAGCTGTGCCCAGAAAAAAAATTACATTTGAAACAATTACAGGGGAGGAGTCCTCTACAAGTGACGCTAAGGGCCAGTGGTGCTATTATCCCCAAAAGCTCTTGGGAGATTCTGTTCATGTCTTCTACCATGGGTGCCTGGAGGTGGTAATCTGAGGCCCAGAGTCTCTGGTGCTCTCTACTTTGTTTGTTTATTCCAGATTGGCTCATAAATTAATAACATGTTACATCAGGGAGTTATCTATCCTTCAGTTTTCTTTCCATGAGCCATCCTAGTCTCCATGGGCCAAAAAGTAGGCCTACAAGAGACCATAGGAAAATCCTAGAGAGAACATCACATTAATTCATTCATTCAACAATTACTGAGCTCTATTACTGTGTATAGGCTCTATTATGGGCCGAAGGATATAGAGATGGATAAAAAAAAAAAAAAAACCCTCTCACAGAACCTACATTCTGACCACAATTGCACCTCAGGGCTTTCACACTTGCTCTGAACTCTGCCTGGAGCACTCCAGCCCAGAAATCTGCATAAGTCTCTTATTTCGTGATCTCTTTCATATTTCTGTTGCATTATTACCTTCTCTGTGGGTTGCTTACTAACTATCCCAATCTGGTTTCACCTTTTTTGAATCTCAGTTCCCTCCTCCTTCTCTCTGTGTAACACTTGAAATCATTTAACATATTATATGCTTCTCTTAGTTTTTTCTTCTCCCACTAAGAGCTAAGCTCAGAAGGCAAGGTCTTTTGTCTCTTATATCACAACTGCATCCCTAATGCCTATGGTAGTAACTAGCAGGTAATAAGCATAATATACACCTTCCAAGTTTACTTACATGGCAAAAAAAAAAAAAAGAGGCATTTCAACATAGATATAYAGAGGGTCACTCTAGCATTCACTGAACACATTATTACAAAACACACATGTTTTCTTGCATAGAAAAACATACTTCCTTATTTTGGACACAAAGTTTGGAAATCCCTAAATGCCCMAAGTATAGCCATTTGTTCTTACTTTATTTAAGTTTCCTTTAGTTCACCCTTCTTAAACTTCTCTCTCCTCTTAGATTGAGCATCATCTTCTTTTAATATTGAAGCCATTTCCCATAGAATCTTCTACCACTTACTATATCCAGCAAATTGCATGTCTATTCACAATATAAAAACAGCTCTAACACAAGAGGGATGTCAAATGTCTAATCCTTATTCTTTCTGAATGTAATAGTTTTGATGTTAAAAATGGACATATATGTAAGTCATATATGTAACTCAAAGTCTAACAATTAAATTTCATACCTAATGAAACCTTCCCATGTTCTTTCTCTAATATTTATCCTAAATAGTTGGTTTGCTAATACAAAGGTTGGAGTTGCAATGCTTTTCAAGGAAAAAAAATTTGAAAAAACAAAGCCTGTGTTACAAAAATAATTAAGCATTATATTTTCTATTTTTCTAAGTCCTGAAAAACACTGGCTAACAAGGATAAAGGGTAGGAAAAATCCTGGAGTTGACCTGCCTGGTTCTCCCACCGAATTATGTGACTAGCTTCCTCATTGGTAGACAGAAGTTGATATCTGTGATTTGCTTGGYATACAGATCTTTTCTGAGTCAAATAAATTAGTATTGGGATATGCTCTAAACTACAGATCAATCATTGAATGAAAGGGATAATGATTTTGGCTAAAGGAAAAACACTTGCTATTGTTTCTCAAACCACAGTGAAGTTAACAGTACTTTTCCCTCCACCTTAAACAAAAGAAGTAACTTTTTATAGTATATTTTGGGGATATACCTTTGCCTGTATTGTCCGCAGATTAACCAGATGAATGTCACAAGGCAAAGATGACACTAAGGGACTGAATTCACTCAGCAGTTCGGAGGAGAGCTTTACTTTTGCTGTCATTAGAAAGACTGGATGGTTCAGAAAAGAAGAAGTTATGTGGCTGAGGAGGGAAGGAAAACTGACTGGACTCTTCTTTTCTTCTTCCTATCAAGATAAAACAAAAATGCTTAATAATTAAATTTGCAGTTCCCATTATACTAATTAACAAAGTTTAAATTTTAAAAATATGTTAATATTTTGATTTTATTATATTTTATAAATATTATTAGAGCATACACACAATGGATTATAAAGTTCATTGCAAGCAACATAACAAATAGTGTCCATTTAACTCATGTTTAAAAAGTTTCCTCCATTCATTTAATATTAAAAATAACAAAAACTTTTTCCATGAACATTTTTGGATAAGGTTCAACTTTTTATGAAAAGTCCCAGCCTACCACAAAATTCTGAAAGTATAAGAATTGTGATGTTCCTATACTTTGCACATCCCTTCTCTCTCAGGAGTCACCCATTCTAGTTCATGGTTTCATTTATACATTTAAAAGACCAGAAGGCTTGTATGAATCTAAAGCTATGTTGTGGTGAATCGTACCAAATTATAGGAGCTAACTGTTACTCAATGACAGGATTTAAAAAAATACAGAGCTTTCAACTCTGGATTTTAAATACAGGTAACAAAAGCAACATATCTAGATCATCTGTTTCTTTAAATTTGGTAAACCATTCATAGTTGTTTCACTGTATTTTATCTGAAAAATATGAATTGTTATATATGTTACTAAATGATTATTCCACATGATAAAAAATACATTAGTCTTTGCTATGATATATGCTTATTAGGCAAGATTTCTGTATGTTCAAACATCAAATAAATCCACCAGGGTTAGAGGTATGATAGATGACATACAAAATTAATTAAATCAATGCTTAGTAGAACCTTAACTGACAATGCCTAAGGAGTAAAAACAGATGTAGGAAGAATTGAGAAGAGAAAATAATTTATGTAGAAAGGCCCTTTGATCATCAACTACATTTGAACTGAATTTAATTTTTTAAAAATGACTACTTTCACTGATACCTTCTGACTTTGCATCCTTTTTGTAATATAGGACTCAAAAGGCTTGGGCACTTATCTGTGTGAAAAGACAGAATTTATAAAGATATGGAGCTTAAAATTCAGAATGTCAGATTAGCATTGGACAGAAGGGTGCTAGCAGAAAGTGAGTAGCATTGTGCCAGGAGCTGAACGGTAGATGTCATTACAATTCAGACCATGGAAAGAGAAAAAAACTTAAAGGGACATTGCAAAATTAAGATACTGACAAAAAAATTAGGTCTGAAAATTATGTGAAAATGTATCCATTCCACATTCTTTCTTAAAGAAAGATTAAGTAAAGCATATAAAATAATATTCTCCAACAATACTGCCATTTAATGCAGCTTGTAGAATAACATGAATAGAAAAGGAACATTTCAACAAGACACTTAAATGTGCTGCCAGATCAAAAGGCTTCATAATCTAGGTCAGGATTGCTGACAAAATCACCTTCTGAGTAATAAAAGATAAAAGATTCAAAAAGAAAGGAAAACACCCTCCTTATCAGATTCGAGAGGCCTTAAGTTCATTCCAGGTCATTCAGAAAAACCTCTCTGGCTTTTTTCTCTATTCCTGGAGGAATTGTTGGACACTTCATTGAGTAGACGAGATACTTCTTGGCAGAGTGTTTATACCTTAGAAGCAATCATAAGCATATATACTAATCCTCCAAACCATATCTCCTGACTCTTGGTATTTCCGTGAATTAACCACATGACAGAATAACTTGGGGAGCCTTTACAAAACATAGATTCTTGGGTCCTAACCAAAATCTATGGAATCAGAATCTCTAGGGGTGAGGGCTTGGGAATACAAAGCTTAAAAGCCTCAGCAAAGTTCATGGAGCCAGCCACACACTGCTCTTTGAATCTGTACTGGAGCTGCCAGCCCAGACGATCTCCCTATCTACTAGAGGAAATAGAACTCTTTTGGAATAAAAATTATTAGCCTTGCCCTTTAGTAGTTTTGGGTTAAAGGAACAAGGTTCAGACTCAAAGACATTTTGACAAAAGTTATTATAAAAGGAAACAAGGCTATGAATGCATATACTTTGGGAATTAAAGAACTATGCAGTTGATCACCCTTAAAAAGATAAGAAATGTTTAAAAGTTGTTGTAGTTTCATATCAGAAACTACAATGAACAAATGAGACAGCTGGAGTCTGGCTGGGCCAGTGGGGCAAAGTCTCACCCAGGGGAGTGTTCCACCATCCACATGCTTTCTTATATTCATAGCAATAATGAGCTCAATAAGATATATAAGTGTCCAACTACCAATATCTGATTAACTTCCTAGAAAGTTCTCCCTAAAAGCTCAAGTGTTATCAAATGTAGCAATTTACAGAGTTGAAATAATTAGATTATGAGAGCTATAACCTAATCACTGGATTAATCCACAAAGTGGATTAAWGGGTGGTAACTAGGCAGATGGGGAGTATGGCTGAAGGAAGTAGTCCTTAGGGGCATGACTTGGGGACTATATATTTTCTCCCGGGATCCTCCTGGTCTCTCTGATTCCTGGCTGCCACTGAGGTGAGCAACATTGCTCCACCACACCCTTCCACATGATTTCTGCCTCATCTGGAGTCCACAGCAATGGAGTCAACCATCGACTGAACTGCTGAAAACATGAGCCCAAATAAATTTTCCTCCTCTGAGTTGTTCTTGTCAGGTATTTTGGTTACAGTGACAAAAACCTGACTAAAACAAAAGGTAACCTCCTAACGCTTAGAATAAACCCAGAAAACATGTTTGCTATAGAAAATATACATGTTTGTTTTAAGCTATAAACGGATCTCCAGATTTGTAGTGACTGGTATTGCTACTATAACATTATTTGGTTTTGTTTGGAAGGTGTTGGTCCATGTAAATCTGGCATTCTCTCTGCAGCTTGCATTAAAATCTTTCACTACATTTTGATCCAAACCACTCAAAGTCTATTCCTCACTGGGTTGCAACCTTATTTCAGAAGTCAGAACTTCTTACCAGGCTTTTGGCAGCTTTTATCAAGCTCACATAACAAACTAAACAGACTTGTTAAATTATGGAAGATTTTTTTTTAGTCATCTGTTTACTGTTTGCCCTAGTACATGGTGAGAGCTTATTAAATGTCTGTTAAGGTAAATCTATTAATTTAACATAAATGCATGTAGTAGAAATACATGAGAATAGTATGGAAGGGAAAGGTGGGACAAAAAGAAGGTGGGACAAAATGAAGATAAAGAGGGAGAGAGAAAATAAATGAACATATATTGACTATAATATTTAAAGACAAACACTGCCATCATGTTCCTGAGCCCTATAACCATTTGAGTTTCTAATATGATTTCTCCCAATTTTCTCTCCTTACATGTGTAGAACTGGCATCTAGAGGTGAAAGGATATAATTATAACACCTGAACACTTCTAGAGCTCCTAAATCCTCAACACCTCCCTTACTATACCAACCATCGGCAGGAAAGGGGTAGGGAGTAAAAATTAAAGAAATAAATCCTAAAGTGGACAATGTCAGAGACCCTTCCCACTTCCMATTTCTGTTGACTCTTGTTGATTATTAGCATGGATGATGGTCAGCCTTGTGCAGCCAGTCCTCCACTGGGCATATGCACATCTCAGTGATTATCACTCCAAGTCTTTGTTCTCACTGCCTCTTTGCAGAACATTCTGAGAACAAGACTCATTTGTGTTTAATCAGCCCAGGATTACACCCAGGATTACTTCCTTGAAGCTCTGGCAGGCTCAAGGCCTCCCATTAAAACCCCTACCTATATGGGTGTGATAAGGACTGGAGAGGCTGAGGCACGCGGGTTGCAAGATAGAGGCCAGCTTGAGCAACTTAGTGAGACCCTGTGYTAAATAAATACATAGGACTGGGGATGTAGCTCAATGGTAGAGTGCTGCTGGGTTCAATCCCAGCACCAAAATAACAACAACACCATCATCATCAACCACCACCAAAATCCCTACCTTTCTAGGGAGTATGTTCCCCATTTGTTTTCCACCATCAATATTTTAGATATTAATTGTGAGAGTTGAAATTAAAAATACTTTTTAGAAAATTGAAGTTACATGATATATAAAATTTCTTAATGGTCTTTTTAATCAATTTTCTAGTAACTAAAATGTATTTTCTCCTCTCTAGTTCATTTTTTTACTTAAAATAAGCCATTGATTTAAGCCCCAGAATACATAGATGATTTAAAGAAAAATTTAACCAACATAGGATTATACAAATGTTGGAGCAAATTTAAATCAATTACTATCCAAGGAGTTTTGAATGGGAATCAACAAATTATTTTAGTTGTAAGTGAAGCTTTATAGATCTGACATGAACATTTTTACTGCCATAGTTAACAGAAGTTTTGTAGATTAATGTCAATATAKAGAGAAAAATGTAAAAGCCAGAAACATTTTCAGGGGGAGAAAAAGACAATAGCTGCCAAAACTCAGACAATGAGTTTTCTATGTAGTTTTAGCTCTTAAAACTAAGCTATCTTTTCAGAAATTGATTTAAGCCACAAGTCTCAAGAACTGGTGTAAACCTTGACATCTAAAATGGATATTATTTTTTTCTAAAAGATTCTAAATACTGTAATAGTGGCTGGAAAATTAGTTATTTCCATTTTACTTAATCAATTAGTATTTTATAGAATGTTTATCATAGCTAAGGTGACCATGAAAATGAAGTGGACAAGTCTCTGGAATCTAGTAGAGATAAAGCRGGTGCTTCCTCTGATAGGAACAATCCTAGAAGAAAAAGTCATAGTCCCTACTCTCAACAGTTTATGGTCCAAAAGAGGAGAAAAGACAACGATCAAATAATCATACACTCACATGAAGGTGAAATGCACAGTTTGGAGGGAGCATAAGAGAAGAAGTAAGATATGGTCAAGAGGCAGTTGATTAAGTGAGCTCTGATCTGAACTATTACTAAGAGCCCTGGGTAGAGAGGATGAAAGGACATACCATGGGAGAAGAGAGTGGGAAGAACTTGGAAAGGAAAGAAAACCAGTGCATCTAAAGCAGAAAGAGTGAGAAGCATGCAAGATGCCTATGGAATGGCCAGGGCCCGCATCATGAGTAGCTCTTCAGGCCAGGATAAGAATTTCGCTTTTATACAGACAACAATAAAAAGGACTAAGCAGGGGGTAACAAAGCTGGATTTGGTTTAGAAGAAAATCAAAAACAAAAAAATTACTCTATCTACTGGGTTAATGACAGCTCTATTAGAAAGAAGAAAGCAGGCTGGATACACCTAGGCCAGATCCAAGAAATACTTTGTGTCAGTTTAGATCAGRGTGGTGAAAGTAAAAAAGTTTACACATTGAAATACTCAGGGCATGAGACATTGTCCTGATGAGGGAGAAATAACCTTTGTRACTCACTCCTAGGTGTCTGGCTCAGCACTGGTGGATGGTGTGCTTGTCGCTGAGAGAGGTGGGTAGCAAGATCACGAGCGTGATGTTAGATATGCCAAGCTAAGGTGAGATATCAAGCTAGGATAAGGTGATTTGTGGGTTCTATCTTTGTAGAGGTAGCAACTAAAACCCACAGAGTAGAAGAGATTGTCAAAGAATGATGTCTAAATTGAGAAAAGGATAAGGCCAGGGCCAAGCCTGGGGGGCTCCAGTATTTAATGACTGAGTAAAGAATTATCAGAGAGATTAAAAACTGCCAGAGAAGTAGGAGGAAAATCAAGTAAACACGACACTGTGGAAACCCTGGCCAGACAGCATTTTAAGATAAAGGTCAGTGTCAAATGCTGCTGAAAGTAGACTTAGTTAAACTGGCAAAAGTTCTGTGTACGATGGAGGCTAGAGCCAGACTGAAGTGCACTTTGAGAAGGGAATCATAAAATGATCTCAACGCATAACTCTGGCTCACTTGGGTAGGAAACAGTAGCACAGGGGAAATGAGAGTGTGAGTTTGAGTGAGGGCTATTTTCTATTATTTTTATCAGAAGAACAAAGATTGTTTGAAAGACAACAGAAAGAATCTCTGAGGTAAGTGCTGGCCTCTGAGGGGCAGGGGAGAGAGAAGGAAAGAAGATGGACAGTAAAAGGATCCTGAGRAGGGTGAGGGGGAAAGTACCAAGAATAACTGGAAAGGCTGCCTATGCAAAGGCTAGGAGGAGACTTGGTATCTAGAACAGGGAACTCTGTGTAGTGACTGATTTCCCTATAAAGTGGAAGGCGATGACACTGGCTGAAAAGATTGGAAAAGTATAGAAAAGAGAATGGAGTAAGAGGAAAAGGGTCATGTTCAGGGCCACCTGAGGGTGTGTACAGTAGTTTATGGAGAGCTCTGAGGCTCACTCTTGCTGTTGCCTGAGTAACTATTATATGGTCTCTAAGGTCCAGTACCACTTTTGCCAGACTTTTGTATGAAAGATAAAGAAGTGAATACATTTTCCATTGATGAATCAAATGCTAAAATAAGACCACTAAGGTTTCAAATAAATTTTATCACACAAACTTAATCTCCTAAGTATGTGACTAAACTCTAGTCTTTAATTTTTATCTAGGTCAATTTATTTTTATTTTTTTGGATACTGGAGACTGAACCCAGAGGTGTTCTACCACTGAGCCACACCAACCAACCATTTTTTCAAAATTTAAGAGAGTGTCTTGCTAAGTTGCCCAGGCTGGCCTTGAACCTGAGATCCTCCTGACTCAGCCTCCTGAGTTGCTATGATTATAGGCATGGACCATTATGGCTGGCTTAGCTCAAATTTTAAACTCTTATTTCTTTCAAAATAATTTAAGCCAAATTACTTACTTGATATTGTTTTTTAATCAATATAATAAGCAAAAAGAAAAAATAAAATTACCTAAATACAAATCTTACACAATGCTTATAACTAAAGATTTTCTGTGAATATGGGCTGAATCTGTTACAGAGACATTTCAACACTGCAAATTATGAAATGAATTTAAAAAATAGAAAGTCATTATTTCAAATTTTGGGTGACAAAGAACAACCAACATCATTACAGTCTAGTTATTTTTTCCTACCATATCTACACCACTTCTTTCTTCTAATAGTATTCGAAATAAATTAGCTGTAATCTTGTTATCAGTGACACCTTGCCCAAGGCCACGATTATCATCTTGCATCAATCTTCGATCCATGATGACTTCAATATCACCTAACAAACAAAGAAACTGACCAGGATTATTTAATACAGATATTTGTTAAAGATCATTTAAGTAGAAGGCATGATGTCTTGTTTTAAATTTCTGGGCCAGTTCAGGAGGTGAATCTTGATAGCCCACATGCCATGGACTTTCTCTTGGTAACAGTTCAAAGCAGCTACAATAAATTCATAAAATAAGAGAGCATTTCTCTTTCTCTTCATTAATGTTTAGCAATACCTGATAAGAAATTTTAAAATAGGATGAGACAGATCAAAACTTAAATGAAACATTTTTTTAAACAAATAATTAACCTAAAAAATTGATTTTTAGTGCCAGCACTTGGAAAAAAAATGTTTATGAGGTTTCTTATGAAATGTACTACAAACATGTAGTAATAAGATACATACCCATGCATGGGATCTAACAAAGATTCACAAGTAAAATTTAGGTAGCTTGATATGTGGTGATTCTCTGAGGAAGTCCTAGAGTTTGAAGACATCCAACCATGTGCTCCCTTCTCTGATACTGTGTTAGCAGGATCACCATTGTCCTGCCAGTGCTCTGGCTTTAAAGGGGTCATATCTGATTCCTTTATTTGCCATGTAATAATTCCATATTTCCTCTAATTTAAGTTATAAACTAATGATTAGGTTATGAAATTACAAAGTGAAAAAATTAAAATCAGAATCATAGGTATAAATTCAAGATTACACTCAAACAGGACTTTAAAAGCTAAAGTTATACTTAAAAAATACATGTATATTTTTTCATATCTATTACTACACTAAGTGATCATTTGGCTTTAAAGGGAAATAGCTAACCTAGAAAATTTTTAATAACTAATAACCTTTTTAGTTTCTTTCTTGGTAACAGTTCAAAGCAGCTACAATAAATTCATAAAACAAGAGAGCATTTCTCTTTCTCTTCATTAATGTTTAGCAACCTGATAAGAAATTTTAAAATAGGATAAGACAGATCAAAACTTAAATGAAACATTTTTCAAAAAAAATTAATTAACCTAAAAAATAGATTTTTAGTGCCAGCACTTGGAAAAAAAATAGTTTAGATGTCCAATACAAAAATTACAGTAGAATTATCACTGTTACTCTCTCCATGTTTTAGGAGACCTTTATCTAGGACTTACTMCCAGGAGTTAACTGTTCTCAAAATATATCTAGAGCCTATCACTTCACACCTAAGTCAGCAAATCAATTTCCTGGCAATTTCTAATTCTTCTCCTGCTTCCAAATCTTAGATCATACAACATGTGATACTTAATGATTTTCTGGACTGTACTYAAATTGTTTTAATTCAAATACTGGGGCTATTTGACTGTTTCTAACAGAAGCAGAAGAGCTTGATTTTTCAGCCTGTCTTCACTGGGAAGTAAGAGAACACTCTTAATTTGTCACTGTCTGAGTCTAATGTCTAGTCCCCTATTTAGACCACATCTTTGAAAATTTAAGGCAGGGTTTAAAAATGGGTGGCTCAAGAGTTACATGACACAAAAAGATGTTTTGTCTACACATTTTTATTTAAATTATGTTATTTATAGGTTCCATGACTTCAAGTAAAATCCCAGACTTGGGAATTCTTTTACAAAGACTGAAATATTTAGCAACCAAAGGRCCTTTATCCTTGTGGCAAACATTAAAGTGCACTAAGTAGTGGATACCCCATTGTAAATGGGGAAAACACTCTCCAGTGTTTCTGTGTCCCCATCATTCCCCATTGGTCACTGACATGAAGTCATTATTTTTGTAATTGAAGTTATGTCTTCACAGCATAACTTCATGTGACTTTATCTAATGAGTGTCACGAGAAAAATGAGAAGTAGTAATTTATTTGTTTGTGGAAGCCCAGAATGCATGTAGATGCCTATGTAAAAGTTGGGTTTGTGTCAAAAGACACATCAGGTGTCTGTACTTAATTTATTACCTGTATGGCTCCTTCAGATATTTATTATTTGCAACTCTTGGTAGGTTAAAAAAAAGAGCAATTGATGATATATACAATAACTAATTTAAAATTATGCATTATAAGAGATCAAAGTCTTTCTATAGAAAGTTTTATAAAAACTAATCAGTTTCTACTGCCTATTTCATCTTTCTTTTTATTGCTTTCTCTTCTTTGGAATCCATGAAGTTGTACTTCTTCATGCCCATAACTCCATCATCTCATCTACTCAACTTCTTTTCGAAGTTGTGGGGTAGAAAGACCAGGACCCAGAAAAAAATCCTAACTTTGAACTAAACTTCACATCTTTGCAAACTTAGGTAAGTTTTCTAAACCTGTAGAGTCTGAGTTTCCACATCTAGTAAATCAAGGTGGTGACAGGGATCTCATCTATACAAAGAACAGGCTATCAGAAGAAGTAAGTTATATTAAAAAAAAATGGTGACATGTAGGCCCCTGTTCTTTACCTGATGACTGAGAAAATTCATCAYTTTATTCTCTTCTTACAAAACCTAAAACTAATAGGCTGGTTTTTGAAAGAAAACAGGCTGGTTTTAATGGAACAGGATAATTTATACATTTGTACACAGAAAAATTGTACAATTAGAACTGAAACCTTTCAGAGCAAAAAATAATTCAGCAACACATACCACTTTTCAAACTGGAAACACCGGAAGACTGAGCAGAGAGCAGTGTCAACCGATTCTTAGCATCCTGGATATATGCCATCGTAGTCATTGGGTAGACATTTGCTTGAAGAGGCAATTTGCTCAATGTCATTCTAGGTTGAATCTATAAAACCAAACAATTCTCTTTTAAAAATTGTGATATTTACATATATACTTTTACAAATTATTATTAAATATTGAGCTTTCTTCTAAAAAGACYTGAGTTTCCTTTCTTGTTTAAGCTAAGAAATAATCTAAAAATTAAAATATTTCTTAAAACATAATGAAGACAAATCACAAGGATCTTAGAAAACAATTTTTAAGTGGGAAAGGTAGAACTTGTCCTGATTTTAAAAATAGGCATTTCTATTTAAATTCAGAATAAAAATGGCTAAAAAAAATCTTCTAGTTATTCCATATTTGCATAAAACAAATTATAAAGGTATTAAGTATTCATTTCTCATCTAAATCTAACATACTGCTTTTGTAATGAATGTTAAGCATAATAGCTCTCTATCTCTTTCAAGACACATCTCCCATTATTCTTGAATCGCTTTTAATAAATACCACAGATCTCCCCACCAAATCCTCTAACATATTAGATTATAATCAAATGCATATTTATATTTGAAAGCCATTCAACATTTACTCTTCTTGTTTAGCTTCAATGTAGATAGTTCTAAATATTGGTTTCTCACAGACTAGATTTGAATGCATGAAATAGAAATTTATCTTTTGAGAGAGACTGTCAGACTTAAAGCAGTCTGAGTAACAGTAACTAATTCTAACTTCAGAACCCTGTTACCAGTGAGTCGTACACCACTTAAAAATGTCATCTCCTCCTTTTAATTTAASAAAGTTTGACATGAAACTCAAGAAAATGAGAGGTACAAAGTAGGCCTAACAGTTAACATGCACTGAGTGCCCATTAATGGAAGGATGGTCCTTAGTACTTCATAGATCTGATCTTTAATATTTCTACAACCCTAGGAATGTGAGTGTGTTCCTCAACTTACTGATTATATTGGGGTGAATAGTATCCCCCCAATGTTCATGTCTACCTATAAACTGTGAATGTGATTTTATTTTTAAATAGAGCCTTTGCAGAAATAGATGAGCCTATACTAAAGAAGGGTGGATCTTAACCGAATGCCTGGTATCTTATATAAACAGGAAAATGTGGACAGAGAGAGAGATAGAGGCACAGGGAGAACACCAGTTGTGAACAGGTGAGGAGACTAGAGCAATATATCCACAAACCCAGGAATGCCAGAGACTGTTGATAAGCACCTGAAAACAGGGAGAGGCAAATAAAGCTTTTTCCCTAGATCTTTTCAAGGGAATATATTCTGCCCACACCTTAACTTCAGATGTCTGGCCTCCAGAATTGTGGAAGAACAAAGCTCTGTTGTTTTAAGCCACCCAGTTATTGGTAATTTGTATGGAAACTCTAGGAAATTAATATACTGTTAAAGAAGTGACTGAATTGTTACAAAAAAGGAAAGCTACCTTGAAAGAATTCTCTTATTTCTTCTTTCCAATCCTGATCTTCTCCATCCCAATTAACATGTACCCTTAAACTTATAAAAAGAAATGTTCAAAACTGCTCCTCCCATCTGGTACCTGCAGGTTTAATTTCTAGTTTTATCCAGATACTATATTTCTAAAGCTAAAAGATAATTTATTTTTAAGAAATACTTAAATTGTAGACAAATATAATATTTTTCTTTTTACTCACAAGTTTAATCCCTGAAAAGAAAATTCCCATTTTTGGCTACTCATTTTTACTAAGTTTTCTCATTCATGTATACACCTACGCATATAAATAATTGCTTCTGTGAGATTTTAAGAAAAGACTCTTTTTGTGTACAAAGAAAATGAATCACTATAAAGTCAGGGTTTCATCTGAAAACTAAACAGCTATAGTAGAATTAATATGTTAATCGGAATGTATGTTGCAATTTCTGTGCTTTGGAAAGGTTTAAATTTAACTTTTGGAAGAAATCTTAGAAGAGAATATTATCACAACCCTTTCCATTTATCCCAGTTGAAAATCAAAGCAAAAAGCATATGTTGTGAAATTATTTCTATTTATAGTTGGAAATTTCTAAAATGCTAATGTTTCAAAAACATGTTCACATGTTAAATATTAGTATTTCAAAGATATGGTGTCACACTCATATATTCATATAGAGTTTAAGGTAACAATCAAAAATTCTATTAAATTCTGTTAAAGAGAATTGACAATCTGAAAAAAATACAAATTTTTCTTACTACTATTTTAAACTATTTCATGAAAAGTTTTATTAATTATGTCCCTGCCCACATTTATAAACAGATATATATTTGTCTATGTATAAATGTAAACACACATTGAAAAAGAGAGGGAATTTAAAAATACACAAGGAAAATGAAATATGAACAAACTAATTTCTGAGGAGGGTAAAAAAGCCATCAATTCTTAATTATAATTCCTTTCTAGCAAATAAATTCATATATATCTTAGCATCAAGGTATCTAAATGCATAATGGTCACCAATATCCCTTTAAAAAAATAAATCCTTGCAAACAGATGTTCTAGAAAAAAATTGGTCTCTCAAATATTTGTTCTAATTTTGGAAATCTGACTGAATATAGAATTTAAAATTGTTAAAATTCAGTTTTATTTTAGAAGTAAATATATATAGGCATATTTTTCAAAGGATCCAAAATTAATAGCCCATTATGATATACAAACATTATATACTAATAGAACTCAGATTTTTAAGAAAATTACCTGATAGCCATTTAGGTCAGTATAAAATCTATTTTGGCTGTTTATTTCAGAAGAAATTCTCATTGCAATCTCACGGTTATATACATTTCGGATGTTCACAATATTAGAAATTTCCACAGAGCGCCCTTCTATTCCTATATTTAAAAGAAGAAAAAAAAGGTACACATTAAAAAAAAAAAGACAATTATTGCCCAGCTTTTCTTAAATATAGTGTAGAGAAAGCCTTCCAAAGTTACATACTGTTAGGGTTTGAATATAAGGTATCCCTGTCAAAGCTTTTGTGTTAATGAAGTAATGTTCAGAGGTAAAAGGATTAAATTATGAGAGCTGTGAACTAACTGGTGGATTAATCCACCTAATGGATTACTAATTTGAATAGACTGGGTGGTAACTGTAGGCAGGTGGGTTGTGGCTGGAGGAAGTAGGTCACTGGGGGTACACCTCTGAGGTTTATATTTCCCTGTCACCTAGCTGGTGCAAAGGTGTGAGCTCTGGCTCACTCGCACTCTCTTTCTCTCTCAAYCTCTCTCTTGCCCTCCCTCTTTCTTGTTCTCGCCCTCTTGAGCTCACTCTGCTTCCTTGCCTGACTCTTCTGCCATGTTTCACCTCACCTTGGACCCAGARTAGTGGAGCTGGTCAACAATGCCTGAACCTCTGAAACYGTGGGCCAAAACAAACTTTTCCTCCTCTAAGTTTCTCTTATCAGGTACTTTGGTTATAGTGATGAAAAGCTGACTAACACACATACAACTATCTGTTTTCTATTTCATATCTTTACATACTAAATGGTGTCACTATTTATTTATTTTTCTTCTTTAATGTTAGATTATAGATAGCATTTATTCAGGGGCACATGTAATTCAACAAAAGGATAAGGAAGTTGKAATAATATAAATGCAGATGACATATAACATATCACTGATACTCCAAGGAGTTCTGAGGGGAAGGAGGACACTAAATGAGAAAACGTTGACCCCACTCCAGGCCAATCCACCTCTCACCTGTACCCCTATTTCCATGAGACACATTGTAGCTCATTTCTCCACCTTCCTCTACTTACACATGAGAAATATGACTTAGTGAAATTTACACTCTGGTTTGGTTCAAGAGACAGTGTATTTATTATTGCCTACAATCTGCTTCTAGGAAAAGAGACAGCAGATCCAATGAGCTGATTTATGAAACCAATATTAACATATTAGTATTTGTGGACTACAATCAGCAGAGCTCCCTAGAAGTCAAATCAATTTTAATTGAGTTTGGTATCTCTTAGGACCCAATGTTATGGGGTGATCCATTCTATCTTTTGCCACAAAAAGCAGAGGACAGCTTGAAAAAGTCCCAAATAAATCAAACTTAACGTGTTTGCTAGTATCATTCTACGCAAACTGTGTCATGAGGTCCTCAGTGAAGCCCCAGGTCAATTTCAGTGATAGAGGAGTTGTAAGGAAATCTAACATGCTCAACACAGATGGTAAATACATCACAAGATCTTCTGAAGAGCAGTTAGGAAAGGGGTTGTAAGGAGAGAGACTGYCCTATCTTACTTCATAAAACTGACTTTTTGAAGTTCTAAGAATCCTGGAAACTTACCCATAGCTTTACTTCTCCCTACTACTCCTCACACACTGTTACTCTGTGCTGATAAGCAGCAAACTTTTTAAACAAAGAAAGCTGTAAAAAGAAAAACAGGGAGAGGAAGAACAGCATAAGGAAGACTTCTTAAGAGCTAAGCATTCCCATCGCTTATAGAAAGTGACAGCAAACAATTAAGGAAAGTGAGCTTGACTGTGGAATCTATGGAAACAAATGTAAATCTAGCTAATCCAAGTACTACAGGTGTCTGTGGAAAAATACACTGGAAATTATAAAATATAAGTAATAATATATGGTGATAAGTAGTGCTCAATGGGCTGAAGCCTCTATTTATTGAATCTACCGAATGCTCACAGAATTGCTGTTCCAACTTAGCTACCTCACTGGACCTAGCTTAGGTTTCCTATTACACATTCATAAAATTACTAGGAGCTAGGCACAGTGGTGCACATCTGTAATGACAGCAAATGGGAAGGCTGGGGCCCTAAGCAAATTAGCAAGCCCCTGTCTCAAAACAAAATATAAAAATTAAAAAAAAGCTGGGGATGAAACTCAGGGGGAAAGTGCTTCCTGGGTTAAATCCCTAGTACCCCAAACAAAACTATTTTGAATGGAAAAAAGGGGATGCCCCCCAACTTTAATGGCCACAGAATGAACCACTAATCTGCAAGTTAAATATATGCATATATTTTCTTCTGAGAGTTATTAAAGGAACCTGTAAAGACAGATGATCCAAACATCTCCACCATTACTGGAAAGTTTAAAAAAATCACATAATACAATAGAATTTTCTTTGAACTAGGAAATATTGCTCTAAATACAAACTTTGCTTTTATTATGTTTACATTAATTAGAACAAGTTTAAAAGTTTAAATAAAATGTATATGGAATTTTAATAGATAAGTATTTACAAGGAGTCGGGTTGTAGCTCAATGGCAGAGATCATGCTTAGGCTGCACAAGGCCTTGGCACCAGAAATGATAGCACTCATGTATCACTAAAGACCATAGAAGATGACAAGAAGTTAACTTTAATCTAGTGGAAGCCATTTATAGGTTTTAGCATTGTGTTTTCTTTTCTCTAGAGAGAATATTCTCTCAGGGGTCAACAGAATACATGAAATGAAGGAAGTCTTAACAAGGGAGAACATGGTTAATTTAAATTCACGTAACTCCAGAAAACATTTACAAAGAACGTGCTTCAAGGAAAAATTAATAATTTCACATTACCTCTGGCAATAACAAATTATTTCCATTGAGAAAGTCATCTTTCTCAAGCTCAATATTATACTCAGATCCTGCTATGGCAACAAATTCTTTAAGCTGTTTAAAAGGAGCTCTATGTCCATTCACAACTCCACAAGACATTAAATTCTGAGCCAGGACAGACTTTTAAAATAAGATCAAACTTAATTTGCCTATTATGAACAAAACAAAACYTAAAATAGCAGTAAAAGCAAGAAGGTATCCCTGAGTTCTCAAAGAGAATTGATTATATTTTAAAAGACAATATGTGTTTGAGAGACTTCCAATTCTTGCCTTTCTGTGTTCACATTCCCCTAAGGCGTGCCTTTGCTAAAGAAGCCTGTGGGATGGAAGGGAGTACTTCCCTGGGAGCAGGGATACACACAATGGGACCCAGTGGTCACTGGATCTCTGCAGCATGTGACAGCAAAAGTACTGAGTTATGGTTTAGATACAAGGTTTCCGCTCAAAACTCTAATATTCATGTAGGAATGTTCAGAAGTGAAATTATTAGATTATGGGAGCTGTAACCTAATTGGTGAATTAATTGATTTGATGGATTAATAATTTGAAAAAACTACTGTACTGGGTGAAAACTTCAGGCAGGAGTGGGCATGGCTGAAGGAGGTACATCACAGGGGAGTGCCCTTGGAAACTGTATCTTGTCCCCCCCTACACTCTCTGTTGCCTGCCTGCCACAGTGGAGCAGTTTTCCTCTGCCACACTCTTCCACCATGATGCCCTACCTCAACTCCAGCCCAAAGCAATAGAGTCAGCCCAAAGCAATAGAGTCAGCCCAGCATAGACTGAGCCCTATGAAACTATGAGCCAAAATGAACTTCTCATTCTCTAAGTTGCTGGTTGTATATTTTGATAATGGTGACAAAAAGCTGACTAACAGATGTTGCTTTTACCAAAATAGTTCACTCTGGGCCTGGGTACCCAGGACTGCCTACACCCTTCTGGATTTTCTGCAATCCTGGGAAAGGAAGTGACTCCTACTTTATAAAATTAGTCCACTGAGGGGAGAGAAGAATGAAGCCATTACATTGATTTATACATGAGAAGTAAGTGCCCTTCTTGCTGTTAATACCTGCCCTTCTGGAGAAGAGAGAATGAAGGTAGTTTATTCTTGCTAATATAGACAACAAAGGGCCAGAGACAGTCCACAGTTGAAAAGTTGCAACAAAGAGGCCAAGAAAATACCATTCCACTAAATTCTTCTATATATGCTGTAGATTCTAGTCTCAACTCTGGAACTGGGACTATTGTTTTTACTTCCTAGAGCCTGTTAAGTTCTCATACACAGAGACTTTCCTACACACCATCTTTACATTCTAGGTCTTAACATTCTGGCCACATGATAAGTGCTAAATCACCATTAAACACAAATAGCTAAGATGCAAGAGAGCCTGTCCTTCATCACATAGAAATTTGCTGACACGAAAGGAAAGCAAACTGCTATGAGTAAAGTTTAAATAGCTGGGAAGATGAAGGAATAGGATTTTCATTGTGAGAAAATGCATGCAGATTAGAACACAAGCTCCTCAAACACAGGGATCATGTCTTATTTAGCTCCCAGCACACAGAAGGTATACAAGTGTCTGCGAAGCGAAGGGTGGCAGCTAAGATGCAATGAGAGTAGCTCTCCATTGCTGATGCTTACTATGTACCATATGCTAACCAGATGCTTTATATACTTAATCCTGGTCCTAAGCCTAGGAGGAAATCACTTGCCCAAGCTCATGAGGCCAGCAGCAGCAGCACCTAAATGTTTCAGGCATTATGCCTCACTGGCAGAATGACTGGAGAAAGCTAAATTTACTTTGAGACCAAGTACTGGGAAAGGCTTGCAGCAACTCTTGAGTAGAAAGATGTCCAAATTTAATGAGAAAGACAGAAAGGGTGTTGAACTGGAATCTTATATACTATTATCAGCTGTTTAATTGAGTAAAATATAATTAAGGTGTTATAAGACTTGCCCAAACATCTCTGAAAGAGCCCCAAACTCTTATCAAAAATTAAGAACACATGCTCTATTACACAGCAGTTCCTCCTCACTGTTTCTGAGGTGAGCACAGTTGTGCACACAGGAAGCAAGTTACCAGCATACTTGCTGTGTACTAGTGCTAAGAGGAAAAACTGGGAAAATATTCTAGACATCTATCAAGAAGGAAATGAAAAAATAAGATCAGGTATAACCATGCTATGGAATGCTGTGTAGCAAATGAAAACAAGGAGGTAGATGTCTGTTCTGGCAGAGAAAGAGATCTGATGAAAAAGTTAAATGTAGT